TGGAGGAGTTACACAAAGCAAATCACACTTCAAAGGGACAACACAAGCCAGGCATGATGGCCTGTGGCTGTAGTCCCAGCATTCTGGGAGGCTGAGGCAGGAGGATCACAAATTTGAGCACAGGCCAGGCAAATTCACCACTTAGCAGGAGCCTGTCTCAAGAAAAATACATAAATGAATTTTAAAAAATGAAATGGGCTGGGGTGTGGCTGTGTGTGTGTGTGTGTGAAGGATTCTACCGCAGGGACTGCCTTGTGGTGAGCAGTACTCAGTGACCGGGGCTCTGGCACAGGCCAGGCCCTGTGGGTCATTTGGTGCAGCCCACAGGTAGGTCCAAGGCCCACGCCGCCCAGACACCTCCGGGAGCACGGAGTGGGGTGCGGGGAAGCCAGGAAGCCTGGCCCAGTCCCTCTCCCAGCCCCTCTAATCTGCACACCCTGGCGCACTTTGGAAAGCAGCCCGTGGGAGACCGAGACATGACGACACAGAGGCGGGTGTGCGTTCCCCAGGTGTCTGCCCTGCTGGGCACAGAAACCAGAGGGGAAAGGACCACAGAGGATCAGCATGCTTTTGTGAGGGGCAGGGTTCCAGGGGACTGCTGGGCTGGAGTGGACCACACTGAGGAGGGGACAGGAGCTCTGGAGTGAGGACAAGGGGTCGGCCGCGGGGACATCGAGGAGCCCACAGGCCACCGCACAGATTTCCTGGCCTGCTGCAGCCAGTGATCAGGGCAGCCGCAGTGATGGTCAGGGCAAACGTGGGCACAGGAGCTGGTGGTAGGGCACGCCTAGAATCCCAGCACTCCAGGGGCTGACGCAGGACAAGTCCCTGTCTCAAAACAAGAGGCAGTCAGAGGTGGAGGAAGGCAGGCAGCAGCAGGGGCCAGGAGCCAGTCTGAGCTGGCTGCCAAGGTATCTCAGGAGGGCTCTTTCAACCAACTCCAGTCATGGCCATGGCCACCGCTGAGCCCCAGGAGTGACGGAGGGTCACACCCAGACCAGCCATGTGTAGGTAACAGCATCTCCCACAGTGGGAGCCCTTTCTTTCTTCCTTCAGCTTTTTTTTTGTTTGTTTGTTTGTGGGAGCCCTTTCTTTCTTCCTTCAGCTTTTTGTTTGTTTGTTTGTTTGTTTGTTTTAAAGAGACCAGATCTTGCTAATCTGCCCAGACTGAGCTCAAACCAGCAATCCTGCCCCTGCCTCCCAGAATCCCAGTTGGTACAGGGCAGGCAAAGTCTGAAGGAGGGTAGGGACAGACACCGGGAGTGCAGGGTCTAGGACTCCACCCTGGCTGCCCGCACCCCTCACTTCCTGGGCTGGGGTGCCAGGCCAGTGAGCAGGAGGAATTTGCGTGGCTGTGGTAACTGGGTCATAGCCAACACAGAACAAAAGTAAGCCCACAACTGGTAAAATGGGCACACCAAGGCCCGTGCTGGGACTGCTCTGTCCCACTGGATTTGAAGGAACTGATGTGGCCACACTGCCACTGCCAGGGACCAAGCTACCTGTGGACCAGATTAGCACGTGCCAGATGCTTAGCATTTGCAAAACCCCACAAGAAAAATAAAAAGAAACAGAGACAGAAACAGAGACAGAGAGACGTAAGACTAATGGCACCATTAAGCTCCTAGATCCAGCCACACCTGAAGCCAAGGCTGGCTTTTTAATTTTAGAAGCCAAATTAATTCTTTTGTGTATGCCAGTTTGGGTTGCAAGTGACAGGAGGCCCAACTTAGAATTCTGACCGGCACCAGGCAGGTACAGGGCCAGGCCCAGGTGGGTCACACACTGCTGTCCCCAGCCCGTACCTGTTTCCAAGCAGATACCACTCCAAGCCACCAATGAACAAGTTCATTCTTCCAAAAAGGGTGTTTTGTTCCGCTGCCTGCCTTGCAAGCGCAAGGACCTGAGTTTGATCCCCTACCCGCCGCCAAAAAAAAAACAACAACAAAAAAAAACCCGAAAGAACAGAAAGGGTGTTTTGCAAGCGAGGTGTGGTGGTGCAAGCCCGAGATCTCAGCCCTTTGGGAAGCTGAGGCAGGAGGATGGGAAGGTCGAGGTCAACCCGAGGGACTCAGCAAAACCCTGTCTTAAAAAAAAAAGTCAAAAAGAGCTGGGGATGTAGCTCAGTGCCAAGGCCCTGAGTTCGGTCTTCAATTCCAGGAGAAAGGAAAGCAGCTGAGTGACCGCAGAACAATCTGAAGGTGAGGCCCAGAGCTGCCCTCCTGAGTGCACCCGGCCTGGGGGAACCGGAGGATTTGGGCGCTTCCGGGTCTTCCTTGAAACAACCCAGTGAGTCTCGGGGCTCTGACAAGCCACTGCCCCACGCCAGTCCCCAAACCCACGCGGAAAACGGTGCCGGTGCCGAAGCCAGAGGAGAGAGACCGGGGGTCCCCGTCGCTCAGGGACCTCGAGGAGGCCGGGGCCAGCGCCTTTAAACAGACGCCCGCCGCTCGCCGGGTCTGCACCCCACTCTGGAAGTAACAGGAATAGCTGGATCGGGACCAACCGGGATAGAGGCGCACTCCCGGCTCAGCGGGTGAGGCGCGGCCGTCGGGAAGGGGGCGCGCCCGGGACTCAGTTTCC